TAGATACATCAGTCAACCAATAAGGAATCTCCAAACTTAGTGGCTCGCTTTTGTTACTTCTCAAACCACTCCCTCTGGCATTTTGCCAGGCACCATCCAGACTTGTTTACAAACTCTAACATTCCCCTGGCAAAATACCAGGTGTTATTTTGACTTGTTTACAGACCTTAACAAAGTAGTCCTGCTCTTTGTAAATATAAAAGCCAACACTACATGTATATGAAGTATAGAGGTGTCTGTCCTGTCCAGTGTGGAGGGAGGAAGCGAGGATGACTAAATCTTCCTTACACATCCTGCCTTGTGTCCTTGTATCAATACTAACAATGAACACAATTCTTTCCTATTTGAAACAAGACAAAAAAAAATATTAACTTCTGTACACAGGTCTGGGACAGTACTGCCTGCGTCTTACTTTCTTACCTGACTCTCTTTGCACCAAGTCCCTCACCCTCCCTGGGGGACTGGTTCCAGCCCTTGGTCTAGATATAAAATTGCAGAAGTAATAGATTTTTGGGGGAGTTGAACTGGGATTGAATTGTACTGGGAATTGAACCCAGGGGTGCTTTACCAGTGAGCGACATCCCTAGGTGCTTTAATTTTTTTGAGACAGGGTGTTGCTAAGTTGCTCAGGCTGGACTGGAACTTTCAATTCTCCTACTTTAGCCCTCTGAGCTGCTGGGATTATAGGCTGTGGCACTGCAACTGGCAAGAATAGCTTTTGCATAGAACCTGCACACATCATCCCATGTTATCTATCTACCTATCTATCTTTATTTATATTCACCAAGGATTGAACCCAGGGGAGCTTTACCACTGAGCTGCATCCCAACCCTACTTTATATTTGATTTAGAGACAGGGTATTAGGGCTGAGTTGCGTAGCCCTCGCTAAACTGCTGAGATTGACTTTGAACTCACAATCCTGTTGCCTCAGCATCCTGAGCCGCTGGGATTACAGGAATGTGTCACCATGCCTGGCTCATCCTGTATATTTTAAATCATTTCTAGATGATGGCCACCAGTCATTTGGACATGGTGAGCTGGGGACAGAGCAAGTGAGGGTCAGCATCACAACCTTCCAGGTGCAGTCACTGTGGAGAGATCTTCTGGCCACAGCCGTGTCCTCCTTCCTGGAGGACCTGTGCTCCCAGGTGGCCAGGCGGCTCCACCTCCTCCCTTCTGTTCCTCCTACCTTCTGGGAAGGCTTCTCTGCCATCCCCCAGCCCCAGGTCCCCCGTCTGCAGAGGCTGCCTGGGTCACACATGGAGCCCTGGCTCCCAGGTCCCAAGGCAGAGGCCTCATGCAGCCGGGTTACTTTGACCCAGGAGGGGCCGAGGCTGAGGAGGGTAGGAGGCTGGGAGGACAGCAGCACTCACAGGGGTTTTGCCGAGCTCTTCCAGCTAATTCCCAGAAGGACCCGCCTGGGCCCATTTCACAGATGAGCCAACAGAGGGGGTGGGGGAGTGATGTGTTCAGGGTCACAGCTGACTGCCCAGTTGGACCCCAGGCCATGTTCCAGCTCACTCAGACCTGGGAGGGCCTCAGGGTCCTCATCCAGATCACACTGTTCTCCCTGGATCCTTCCAGGCCAGCTCCCCGCTGTCCACAGGTGTCAGACTGTCCCAGGCTGATATCCACCCTGCTCAGCCCGCCTTGATAGGAAGCCGCTCCTCCTGGCCTCACCCTCCCCTCAGTACAGCAAAGTGGGGCTGCGTGGCAGGGAACTCCTGTCCTGGGGGCTCGCCGTCCCAGGTGGCTGGTGGGTTGGGAGCCGCCTGCCAGGGCCAATAGTGACAGCTGCTGTGGGCCCAGATGGAGGTCAGAGAAGCTGGCCAAGACCCTGTCAGCAGCGGAGGCACCTGGGCCTCCTGCAGGGCCCTGGACCAGCTGTGCAGTGCCTGGCCCCTCCCCAGTGGGTTACACTGTCCCTTGGCTGAGTCCCTGACACCATGGCCAGGCCTAGCACTCAGCGCACCTCAGAATCATTGGCCACGAGGGAGACGCACACCAGGAACCACCGGCTGCAGCCAAGATGGTGCTGGTGACTGTCTTTGGTCACTTATTAGATTTAATTTTTTTCTTACTTAGAACTATTATTTTCTAAATTTCCTAATATAAAATTTTTGTTTTTATGGTTAAAAAATAGGGAGCCAGGTGTCGTGGTGAGCATGAAGCCCCAGCAACAGGAGAGACCAAGGTAGGAAGATCACTTGAGCCTGAGTTAGAGACCTGGTCTCCAAAAGAAAAGGAAAAAATAAAGTGGAAGAAATGTGTGAGACAGTCACGTTTTAGAAGACATTAGGAAGCCAGACCCACCCCCTGAAACCATTTGAATGGCTTCTCCTCAATAAAAGGGTTCAGCTCACTCTCTCTCTGCAGACCCCTAAGGTCATAGGACCCAAAGAAAAAAGTATCTCTGTCTCTTGTGTGGTTATTCTGTGCAGCCCAGTTCACCTGGAGTGACCCTGAGTGTTTTAGTCGTGAGGACGCGACATATGGGGTTAATTGATGTCTTTAACATAGGCTATAAAACAGTTACAGTAACACCTGTTCTGTAAATACAAAAATACCCTAATATGTGTTTGTATGTGCATGCATGTTTTCTGTGAAAACATGAGAGCAGGAGTGAGGAGTTTAGAAGGCAACTTGTCAAACACCAAGCTGCTCCCTCAGTGGCAACTAGGTGATTCTGGTTCCGTGTTTCTGTGTTTGTTTCTAGAGGTTTTGTACATGAGCATAACTATTGATGGATTGATTCTGATAAGAACAGATTTTCAAATGGCATCTTCTCTGAATTCAGGTGTGTCTTATAACCTACATATCAGTTTAGCTGCTCCTCCTACTGGTCCATAAATTAACAGCACATCTTAAAACCCACAGTGTCATGGGTTCAGTGATACATGCATTACTTTTTTTGTGTGTGTGGTACTGCTGATTGAACCCCAGGGTGCTCAGCCACTGAGCCACATCCCATTCTTTTTATTTCTTATTTTGACAGAGTCTCACTAAGTTGCAGTTTGGCCTTGAACATGCCATCCTCCTGCCTTGGCCTTCTGAGTAGTTGGAATTACAGGTGTGTGCCACAGTGCCCAACCTGGAGTTACTTTTGAACTGGGGATGTGTTCTATAAAGAGGGTAAAGTGAGGCGAGTCAGGGGCAGTGGGGAGGAGGGGTGTTGGGAGACAGACCTTGGAGTGAGGGCACTAGGCAGGGCTGGTGGGGGAGGAGTAGGGCGCAGGGCACAGACTGGCAGGGAGAGGAACAGAGCTGAGGGGAGTTCAGTGGGTTTAGGAAGGAGGTGGAAATCATGGAGATTCCAGAAACGTGGCGTGCTCAAGGGAGTGGCCTTCAAGTGTGGCACTCAGTACTGGGATAAACGAATGCCTGTTCTTATGCTTTACAAATAACAGTCATTCAATCAACATTTATGGAGCACCTACTGTGTATCAGGTACTGGGCTGGGCACCGGGGATGATCGGGAGGCAGCAGCAGCACCCAAGCTGACCACCCAGATGCACAGCTACGAGGCCTAGAGCAGGGTAGCAGGAGCCAGGCAGGGCAGACAGCCAGGCTGCAGTCAGGGAAGGCTTCCTGAGGGAGCAGGCTCACGCACAACCTTGAAGCCAGGACCTCGCCAGATCCCAGGAGCCGGGGCCATGCAGGGGCAGGTGCTGGGAGAGGGCACTTACAGAGTGGTGCAAGCACCGGGTGAGCGAGGCTCCGGCCTTCCTGAACATGCCTCCCAGGGCCACGGGGCGCTGCTGACTTCTCCTCAGGGGCAGAGGAGAGAGGAAGAGCACGCCAGGCCAGAAGCTCAGCACTTGGGTCCTACACACAGTCTAACAAAACAGCATGTCACTATGCCAGACACGTGCCAGAGCGCTCCGCTGCAGGATTATATATACCACACGGTCCTCTGGACAACCCTCCCGCACACACGCATATACGCACACCAGTAACCAGAGTGATCTTTTAAAGTTCAAATCAGAAGTGACCCAGGTGAGGAGATCAATCACTACGAACATCACAGAGAGTGTCAGCACAACCTCTCATTCTGACCCTGGAAACACACATACCTACTGTGAAAGTGGCATTCCTGCTGTGAAAGGGAGCCTAAACCAGACCTGGCCAAGAGACTGAAAACAGAACAAGCCAGGCACGTGGCCACGCCTGTAATCCCAGCGGCTCCTGGGTTCAAAGCCAGTTTCAGCAATGGTGAGGCGCTAAGCAACTCAGTGAGACCCTGTCTCTAAATAAAATACAAAATTGGGGCTGGGGATGTGGCTCAGTGGTTGAGTGCTCCTGAGTTCAATCCCCAGTACCAAAAAATAAAAATAAAAAAATAGTAAAAATAATGACCATGGAGGCACAATGGATGAATCCAAACTGATGCGAATTCTACAGAACAAGTGACCCTGTCAATGAACAAAATGTAGCAGCACAGCCTGGAATCCCAGGGACCCACGAGGCTGAGGCAGGGGGACCTTAAATTAGAGGTCAGCCTGGGCAATTTAGTGAGATCTTGCCTCAAATTTAAAAACAAACGGCTGGGTAAACAGAAGTAGCTCAGTGGCAGAACCCTTTTGGGTTCAATCCCCAGGATCAAAAAATAAGTAAATATGAAAAAATATACAAGTAAAAAAATTGGGACTCAAGAGATTAAAAAAAGTTAGCTGGCAAATAAAAAACCTGATGCCTGAGGCCAGGTACGGTGGTGCACACCTGTGATCCCAGCAGCTTGGGAGGCTGAGACACGAGGATCTTGAGTTCAAAGTCAGCCTCAGCAACTTAGTGAGGCCCTAAGTGACTTAGCAAGATCCTGTCTCAAAAAAATAAAGGAGGTCTGGGGTTGTGGCTCAGTGGTGGAGCACTTGCCTAGCATGCGTGAGGCACTGGGTTCAATCCCCAGCACCATGTTAAAAAAAAAAACTAAATTGCAGCCCCCAACCCGCACAGGCAGCTGAACTTAAGGTCGCTCGCGTGAATTTCCAGGGAAACCAAATAAAACACAGACACACACACTTTACCTTTCAGCAAGCTTCAGGATGGCTTCTCCCTCTGCTCTCGGCCTCAGGCTCCCCACATGGGGGAGCAAGAGAAAGCCAGAGAGGCTGGCGAGGGAGAGCGAGCACGTTCAGAAGTGGGCTCTTATTGGGGGGACCCTTATTCTTAGAAAGTTCCGTCCAAAAAAAGGGCCGGAAGAGGTGGGTTACAAGGGACAGGTGAGTGTCATTCAACCCAAGGGGCGACACAGCCACATCTGAAGACACGCCCTTAACTTCCGAACCGGGTCACCAAGAAATGCAGTGACCCATCAAAGCCTCTTGCGTCAGGATGGAAGGCTCCCCACATATCCCTCCTTCATTCTTTGAAAAAGCAGGTGACGTGTCACTGTTTCGAGTCCCCGAATCCTTGTTTTGAAGCGGTTGCAGGCCTCGCTCTCCCTGGCCGAGAGTCACTGGTGCAGCCCGCAGTGTGGGTCTCCTCGGGTCCTCCCATGAGGGCCGCTTCCTCATTCGGTCTCTCTGGAATCTTTCTTCTTCTCTTCCTTCAAGAGTTCTTCTTTTTGAGGGAAGTTACGTCTGGCATCTCTGGTCCACCCTCAGCCTTTTGAATCTTGGTTCTAGGTCCTCCATGTCTGATGGCGCATTCAGGTACCCAAATAGGACAAAAAGCACCTTCTGGGGAAATACTAGCATGACCTCTGCCCCACATAATCACTGGATCTGGTCCTTTCCATTGACCAATTTGTTCTGGGGAAGACATGTGTCGTTCAGCTGCACTGTGATCTTCTGAGTCACAATTTAGAAAACTTAAAACAAGCAGAGCATGATTGAGGTTATTTTGGGGAGTCGTAGTCCTATTTCCCTCTTTTAATTTTTGTAATTGTAGCTTAATAGATAAATGAACTCCTTCTACAATGGCTTAACCCTGAGGATTATAAGGAATACCTGTTTTATGGTCAATCCGAAACTCCTGGCAAAATTGTTGGAAAGAAGAGCTTCGTAAGCAGGTGCATTATCAGTTTTAATCTGTAAAGGACATCCTAATACTGTAAAGGCAGCTAAACAATGAGAAATAACATGCTGAGTATTTTCTTTTGCACGGGCTGTGGCAAAGATAAACCTAGAATAAGTATCTACAATTACATGTACATAACATTGTCTACCAAATTGAGGAATTTGATTACATCCATTTGCCATAATTAATTTGATTTTAATCTATGGGGATTTACCCCAGATGGTAAAGGTGGAGTGTGTATAACACACTGGGGACAGTGACATACAATTTGATGAGCTTGTCCTCTAGTAATATTAAATTGTTTATGTAAGCTAGAAGCATTTTGATGATGTGAAGAATGTGAAGCATGTGCACAGTCATACAAAGACATTTGCTGACAAACAGCAACCAATTTATCAATCTTATTATTACCTGATGTTAGAGGCCCTGGAAGATTAGTGTGGGCCTGTATGTGGCCTATAAAACATGGGTGTTTTCACATTTGTAGGGCATGAAACAAATTGAATAACTCTTGTGATACATACCCAATAATTGAAGTTTCAATTTTTTGTAACTTCAACTGCATATAAGCTGTCAGAATAAATACTGATGGGCTCATTTGCAAAATGACTTAACACAAATGAGAGCCTGTAGTTCTGCTCATTGGGCAGAAGCATATGAGGTTTTTATTACCTCTGTATGAGCATGACTATAAAAACCTGCTTTACCTGAGCTTGAGCCATCAGTGAATACTGGTAGTGCACCATCTATTGGTTGTGCTCGCACAATCTTTGGAAATATGGATGGAGTTACCAATGCAAATTGAATAATTTTATCATGAGGATAATGACTTTCTATCTGACCAGGAAAATTAGCAAAAGCTACTTGCCAAAAATTAGAAGTTTGAAAAAGCCAATCATTTTGTTGAGCAGAAAACAGAATGATTATAACATTAGGTTCTGATCCAACTAGCTGTAAAACTCTTGTTCTGCCCTTTATCACTAATTGAACAACAAAATCATGAAAAGGAGTTAGTGACTTTTGAGGAGAGTGGGCTAAATGAATCCACTCAATAACTCCCAATGTTTGCCATATCACCCTGTAGGAGCATGAGCAGTTGGAAATATCAATAAATATATCGGCTCTTGTGGATTAATTCTAGTAAGCTAAGCATTCTTAATAGCAATTTCAACTTTCCTCAAAGCCATTCTCACTTCTGCTGTGAGCTGGCAGAAGAAGTTGGAGAAGATTCTCCCTGTAATATCTGGAATAAAGAACTTAAATCTGAAGTAGTTAGCTTTAAAGATGGCCTCAGCCAATTAATATCTCCTAATAATTTTTGAAAATCATTAAGGGTGTGCAACTCCTTGACTCTTTATTTGTATGTTTGAGGACGGACTGTATGTCCTTTAATCACATGAACTAGATATTGAAAAAAGAGATGTTTTTTGCACCTTCTGAGGTGCAATGCACAAACCCACTGCTGAGTGAAGTCTCTAATTGGGCAAAAAATTTTAAGAGTACATCTAAATTACCATGAGCTAAAAGTATGTCATCCATAAAATGAATAATTTTTCCCTCACATGCGTATAGCCTTTGCCACAAAATTTTGATAGAGGGTAGGACTGTTAAGCATTCCCTGAGGCAACACTTTCCAAATTCTATCACGGGGCAACACTTTCCAAATTCTATTTTGACGGGTTCTTTAAAACTAATTGCTGGGACACTAAAGGCAAGCTTTTTACAGTCATCTGGGTGCAAAGGGATAGAAAAAAAAATCTTTTAGATCTACTACTATCAAATAATAATCTAAAGGAATGGCTGAAGGAAAAGGAAGCTCAGATTGTAATGCTCCCATGGGCTCTATAACATGATTAACAGCTCTAAGGTCTTGTAATAATTTCCAGTTACCAGATTTTTTCTTAATTACAAAGATGGGTGTGTTCCAAGGGCTGAGTGTAGAATCTAAATGACCATCTGAAGTTGTTCCTCAACTAACATGTGGGATATTTTAAGTTTTTCCCCTGTTAGGGGCCACTGACTAACCCAAATTGGCTGTTGTGTGAGCCAGTTAATTTCTTCTGCTGTTCTTTGGGTTGGGGAAAAGGTCAGGGTCCCTACCAAAAATTTTGGCTGGGTGCGTTAACTAATCTCAGTTGGGGAGATGGGGTCATGGGTAGGTACTCTTCCTGTAAATTTCTCTAGGAGTAAATCCTTGATTAAGTCCCTCAAATGACGTGATAGAATTTGGAGTTACTAATAATAATCCTAAACTGCTGAGGATATCTCTGCCCCATAAATTTACTGGTAACATGTCCAAAAAATAAGGCTTAAAAATTCCAGTATTTCCATCTCAGTCTTCCCAGCAAAGATACTGGGCACTCTGAGCAGGTTGAGAGATCTGTCCTATGCCTTCTAAATTGGCAGATGCAATATGTAAAGGCCAGCTTTTGGGCCAAAATCTGCCCAATAAAACAGATTTATATGCCCCAGTATCTATGATACCTTGAAATTTTTTATGATTGATTTTAAATTCCACTAAGGGGTGCTCCTAATGAATTAATTGAGCCCAGTACACTTGGTATGGGGACCTGGAAGTTGAGGTTTTAAGCGGGCTGTTCACAGAACAGCAAGGCAGAAGTACTAACTGTGCTAGCACGTGTTTTTTTTTTTAATATTTATTTTTTAGTGGTAGTTGGTCACAATACCCTTATTTTATTTATTTTTATGTGGTGTTGAACCCAGGGCCTCGCACATGCTAGGTGAGCCCTTTACCATTGAGCCCCAGCCCCAGCCCCCCAGCACGTCTTTTTGTAAAGAGCCGAATGGCATATTCTGATCTCACAGTGATTTTAATCTCGTCTCTAAAATCCAAGTCAGGGGCTGGGAATGTGGCTCAAGCAGTAGCGCGCTCGCCTGGCATGCGTGCGGCCTGGGTTCGATCCCCAGCACCACATACCAACAAAGATGTTGTGTCCGCCAAGAACTAAAAGAAAATAAATATTAAAAATTCTCTCTCTCCTCTCTCACTCTCTCTTAAAATAAATAAATAAATAAATAAAATCCAAGTCAATAACCCCTGGCATTACCTGAATTCCTTCTTTTAAATCATTTTGTCCCACAATTAGGCCTCTGGTACCTGGGGGTAATGGCCCATGGATTCCGGCAGGAACGCACTGTGGTCCCATTTCAGGTGTTAAATTTATTACCACAGCTGGTCATAAAAGTACTGTCTGGGTGGGGCTGGCTGTAATAGTGACGATCCGCCATGGCTGGCTCTGATGATGTCAAAGACTGCAACTCTGATTCCTCCTCCCGTGCATACTGTAGAGCCCCCCCATTGTTTGTGGGGCCTGGGGCAGGTCCCACCCCTTGTTTTTGGCCCGAAGAAGGTGAAAGTGAAGTCAGAATTGGAGGTGGGCTGCTGACATATCTGTTCCCATCCCCCCTCGCCAGGCAGCTTTCTGTCCCATAGTGACACCATGGCGAACACATGTGCTGAAGGTTGTTTGGACAGTTGCAGCCTGATTCTATGCGTGCCATGCCACGACCTCCTCCTAGTTCTTGTACCCGAAGGCTCAAGGAGCGGCCTAGCGATTGGGCCACAGCCTGCACCTGTTCTACTAATTCTCGGGAAGGCACAAGGACCAGACCTCCGGGAGCAGGTAGGCGGTGGGTTTCCAGAGCTGGATGATCAACAAGCCTTTGCAACAGCGGATAGATAGCTCAGAGTCTTGCCACTGCCCGTTTCTGCAGCGCAAAGGAGGTGGCCTCTGCCCTAATGTGCAGAGATTACCAGTCCCGCACCAAATGCCCAGTTCTGCCAAATGCCAGTTCTACTTTAAATTTACCTAAAGCACAAATAAGCTAAATGTAAATTTCAATGTTATTCTAAAGAGGGACAGCTCTTTACAGTCAAGAAATAAACCTTAATTAGAGAGTAAATCTATTAATTTCCATAGTTGGCCTAAAAGCAGCCATCAATTAAAAAAGCGTTAAAGCTTAACCTAACCATCAAAACTTAATACCTAACTCTTTTAATAATCTCCTAAATCAATACTGGACTAATCTATGTTACAATAGAAGAAATTATATTAAAATAAGTAACAAGAAAATATTCTCCCTGCATAAGCTTATATCAGATCAAATAATTCACTGATAGTTAACAACTCCATAATATTAAATAAAATTATAGAATCATTATTACTAACATTGTTAACTCAACACTGGTATGCATAAGGGAAAGATTAAATAAAGTAAAAGGAACTCGGCAAACACTAACCTTGCCTGTTTACCAAAAACATCACCTCTAGCATAAATAGTATTAGAGGCACTGCCTGCCCAGTGACATGCATTCAACGGCCGCGGTATCCTGACCGTGCAAAGGTAGCATAATCACTTGTTCTTTAAATAAGGACTAGCATGACATGCATTCAACGGCCGCGGTATCCTGACCGTGCAAAGGTAGCATAATCACTTGTTCTTTAAATAAGGACTAGCATGAATGGCTTGACGAGGGTTTAACTGTCTCTTACTTTTAATCAGTGAAATTGACTTTCCCGTGAAGAGGCGGGAATTTCCCAATAAGACGAGAAGACCCTATGGAACTTTAATTTAATAGTCTCACAGCCTTAATAATACCTTAGGAATTAAAATTATTGTTCATAGACTAGAAATTTTGGTCGGGGTGACCTCGGAGTACAAATTAACCTCCGAATGATAATAATCTAGACACAACATGTCCAAATCATAATTCATTAATTGACCCAAGTCATTGATCAA